CGCCTGTGGGAAGGGCTCGCGTTGTAGAAGTTCATGGAGGACTGTCTCCTGTGGGAGGGACCTCACGCTGGAGCAGGGGAAGAGTGTGAGGAGTCCTCCCCACAAGGAGGAAGGAGCGGCAGAAACAATGGGTGATGAACCGACCACAGCCCCTATTCCCTGTCCCCCTGTACCACTTGGGAGGAAGGAGGTAGAGAAGCTGGGAGTAAAGTTAGGCCCAAGACAAAGGAAGGGGTGTTTTAAAGATTTAGTTTTATTTCTCATTCTTCTCTGATTTGATTTGCAATAAACTACATTCTTCCCCAAGTCGAGTCTGTTTTGCCTGTGACAGTAACTGGTGAGTGATCTCTCCCTGTTCTTACCTTGACACAGGAGCCTTTTGTTATATTTCCTCTCCCCCTGTCAAGCTGAGGAGGGAAGTGACAGAGCAGCTTTGGTGGGCACCTGGCATCCAGCCAGGGTCAGCCCACCACAACTTCCTATGGTTTGCACTCCATCAGTAACTTACAACAAACAGTATCTGGAATATGAAGTTAAGCTTGATGTTAGCCCTAACCTACCAGTTTTGACAGTAGCAACAAAATTTCAACACAAGGCAACATAAAAACATAATAAAGTTAGATTTTTTTGGTCATTCAAATAACTATTCAGAATTCTTTCATATAAGACACTTTAATTTTGATTCATAAATTACATACCTTGTTTATTAGATGCTCAGTGACCACTTCTCTTAGTCCAGTGTAGAGTTTTTCACCATGTTTATGCAACACCATTGTATATGCATTCCTATATAGCTCCTCAAAACTGAGACCACTATTGTTCTTACGCTGGATCTCTTGGATTGCATTTTTTAGAAGATCCCAAATGCTGTTCACATATTTCTCATCCATAGTCATCTGTAAAAATAAAACAATACATTATTGTTTAGAATCAAGAAAGACCACTACAGAAAGTTATCTTTAGAAGTTGTAACTCCAAGGACAGTAATCACTTCTGCCACATTTTGTTCATTCCATTACCAGAAAGTTTCTCAAACTTTATCAAAAGAAAACCAGTATTTATGAAACTAGTAAATATTTCAAGAAACAGTTACGAAAACTGTAATTTGTAAGAGTTTAATGCTTTTGTCCTTCAGAGCTGCAAATCCACAGAACACAACTCCAGAGCCTATGCAGGTGGCAAGGCAGGTAATTGTGGACATGAGTCTCTCCTCTTCCTCCACAGTGTTAATAATGAAAGTCAGTTAACTTTCCTCCCATACTAACAGGCTACTTAACACCTCATAAATTGTACTGTGACACTGATCTGCTTAACCAGACCCCAGATCAACTTGAACAACAACAGATAATAATGTCTGACACAGAGTTAGCAAACTTAGTCATCTACTTGAGCTTACTAGGTATTCCTTTATTTATAGCAATGTACTAATGGCCAAAGAATTGTGTGCCTACAATACTGTGCTTAAAATTTAAATACTTACAGGTGCTGTTAAAAACCCCCACAAGTGCCCAAAAAAAAAAAATCTGTATTGAACATATTTCCATTGCACAAATATGGTTACATAAGTTTCTACACGATATGCATCAAGCACTAAGGAGAACATGCATCTGCTTGGATCTGTTATTCAGATGCTATATACTTCAGTAAATACAGCAAATAAAACCCAGAGCAATAAAGAAAAATTCAGGGACAGAAACTCTTATAAGAAATGGCCTCAATACAACAGCAAATCAACTTCTGTCCTCTACTATCTAGTGCTTAGTGTGAATCAGTTTACAGTTGTGCTTTACAAAGGCAAAGGTGCTTCAAAATATGATGCTTTATAGATAAAGCAGTATCTAGGATGACAAATAAGTGGAGCATCAAATAGCAGATGTCAGTATTGCTTAAAGCTTGTGATTCAGCCAAATTTCACCACCCAACTGAAAAAAACACCAAAATTTTCTAATTAAGTCATATTTAAAATGCAATGTTTAAAGCTAAGTTTGGTTTAGCTTATACAAAAAGGAACTGATCTAGCATTTTACATCTAAAGAAAAAGGCTGAAGAGAGGAAAAAAGCCACTATTCCCAGATACTCCTCCATCGTCCTCCTCTTTTGGAGTTTTGGTTAAACACAAAGATTTTAATGATAAAAATGATGCTATTGCAACTTTTTCCACTCTCCTGATACCAGATCCACTAGCCTACTAATCTGTACATACCAAAAACTTGAGATAGGACATTGTCTAACTAAAAAAAATAAATAAATAAATAAATAAATAAATCACACACACATTCAAAAATTCTTAGCTCCCTATCTCCCAAAACAAAAACCTCAAAGTAACAGAAAAATGTTGGAATGTCCTCCCCCTCACCATGCTTTTTGCTTATTCTGCTATGTATAATGTTGAAAGTCAGTTATTTTATTTTTAATTTGCATTTGCTACATTGGTGCCTCTTCAGGGAAATTATTTTCTAACGCCTTCCTGAACAAGCAATTTTACAACTACTGATAATGAAGGCAACCATTTAGAACTGCAGACAGCAAACCAAGTAAAAGCTTTTCAGTTTTCCTTAAAAAAAAAAAAAGTTTTTCAAACAAAGCACAGACTCAAACTCTCACTTCCCAATGAAATTTTCTTCCCCTGCTAATAATAAAATAAAAAATCTCCCAGCCAACAGGACAAGCCTTTTATCAACTGCAATTTAATTGCTCACTGTATTTAAAAAAAAAGTATCATCTGTATAAAACAGGCAAATCACCTGCTGCTAGTTTGAAGAGCTATTACAGCATTGCTGTTTCTGGGTTGGTCAGCCAGTAAACATTTCTATATGTTACAGGTAAGTGGTACACCTAGTAATTCAGATCTGTTCAAGAAAAAGCTAGTAGTGAACCATTTAATTCTTCTACTTTTAATCCAAATGCTATAAAAATATAAATGAATGATTGTAACATTATTTGCTGTAAACTCACTGAATACAAACACGAACACAGAGTTTTCTGCTACTTAACAACTGACTGACCACAAGCTGCTCTGCAAGCACAAGAAAGATCCATACAAGGCAATTTTAAGGAGCACACATCTCCATGGGATAAATATACAGAAATATTTGGAATACTATTGAAAAAACAAACTTATCTTATTACCTTCTAAGATTAAGCATGAAGGACTCTGCTTCTCAGTGCAGCTTCCTATTCTGCTACTGACTTACTTTAGATTAGTATCTGTGAGGTTTTATGGGAACAGGTTTGCTAAAGTTCCAGGATATCAAATTAGAAGAGCACTGTCTTCCAAAAAAGATCTAGCACAGCTAGCTTGTTTGCAGCAGTGTTTTCTAACAAAGCAAAGGCTCCTAATACTTTAAATAACTCCACTCTATCGGACAGTAAGTCACTGCAGTAAAACTAGTAAAAGTTTATTATTTCCTCTCCACTGCTGAAAAGCTTTTGAACAGAAGAGGTCTTCCTGTATCGTTATCCTCAAAGTTACATAAGAATTCCAATGACTAAATGTACTACCCTTGGATTACTTAACTCACAGGTTTATCTCTTTTCATCCCCCTTCCTTAAGTCAGGCTTGTACACGGATTAAAAAACCCAAACAAATAAAACCAAAACCCAAAACCAATAAAACCACCCCCAAAACCCCAACAACTAAGCAATAAACAACTTTGTGACGCTACTAGAACAATTTCGTATCTTTCAGAATTCTGTACAAAAGCATCTCCAAAGAACTACAGAACTGTGACCCTAATCCCCCAGTCTGATCCACCACAGAAGATTTATGCAACTCTCTATACCCCTATCAGCAGCAAAGCCTGCGAGTGATCCACTTCCACAAATATAGGATCAGAGCCCAAATATTTTTCTCTCATTCCCAGATTTCTTCTAATGGTTATATTTTAAAATTGAACTCCACAGGTGTAATACAGCTGCCTTGATTGCGCCTTCTACTCCTGCAGATTTAAGCAGAAGCTAGGTTACTGCTTCTGCTGGTGCTCTGGAAAAAAAAAAAAAAACACAAACAAAACACCACCAAAACCACCCAGGTTCAGAAAAGCTTTCAGAAGCAAAGTCCCAGTAATGTCAGTAGTGTTTACATCCAGATTCACCAAGATAGCAAGAAGCCAGTGTCCAAAGACAGGAAATGTGTTAACGTACTCCTGTTTATCTGAACATTACCTTTCTTGGGGAACGGGAGAAAGATCAAGTCTGTTATTGGCAGGAAAGATAGCTGTTTATACGAAGCCGCTAGTTGGAAAAGTTCCACGAAGCGCTGCCCAAATGCTAATGATTCAAAGATACAACTTGAACACAAACATCTGAACTCAAACTAGCAGAAGTACATCTTGAGGAAATTTAAATAAAGTATCAGTGTACATGAAAGTGCAATTTTCACCAAAAAAAAGCGTGCAAAGGACTCAAAAGGTCCTTTGTTCCACAGCACTGCCACAGTGCAGGATCAGCTACGTGCAAGCCCTTTCTTTAACAATGTTTGTCTATCCTATTAAAATCTCCAAGACTGAATAAACAATCATTGTCAGCAATCTATTGTCATTATCACCAGCAGGTAAAGGTCCTGAACATCTCTCTTACCTCTCCCTCCCAGAAGCTAACACTACAGACACCACCTCTTTTGAGTAACTTTACCAGCATTCCTTAAATTGAAAAGGGCAAACAGCTGAACTCCAGTAGTTTTGGTATTAACATATAACTTCATACAAAAATATTATCATCTCCCTTCCAGTCATGTAGTTCAGAGGACAGTGCAACATCATGTCCCTGGGGAGGAACAACGCCATGCACTAATACATGATGAGGCCAACTGAAAGCAGCTCGGCAGAAAAGAACCTGGGGCTCTTTTCTCAACAACATCAAGTTGACAACAAGCCTATGGGCCCTTGAGGCAAAGAAGGTTAATGGTATCCTGGGCAGCACTTGAAGTGTTGCCAGCAGGTCGAGGGCTCTACTCAGCAGTGGTGAGACATGTGGAGTGCTGTGTCCAGCTCTGGGCTCCTCAGTACAAGAGAGACATGGACATACTGGAGAGAGTCCAGTGAAGGGCTACTAAGGTAAGTGACTGGAACACCTCTCATATTGAGGCAAGGCTGAGAGAGTCAGGTCTGTTTAGCTTAGAGAAGCCTCAAGGAGATCAAACAAATGTATTATAAATACCTAAAGGGAGGGTGTACAGAAGAGAGAGACAGGCTCTTCAGTGGTGCCCAGTGACAGGACCAGAGGCAATGGGCACAAACTGAAACACAGGAGATTACCTCCGAACATCAGGAAAACTTTTTTTTTTGCTGCGATAGCAACCAAGTAGAGGCACAGGTTGCCCAGAGATGTTGTGGAGTCTCCATCCTCGGAGATATTCAGAAGCCATCTGGAAACGATCCTGTGCAACCAGCTCTAGATGACCCTGCTTGAGAGGGGGGTTGGACTAGATGATCTCCAGAGGCACCTTCCAACCACTACCATTCCATGATTTGGTGATAGACATTACATCTGCACACAGAGGAAGCCATTCTGAAAACCAGTGCTCTCTGAGTAAGTGTGACCTCTTAAAACTGCCAGTACGAGTCTTCCAACTGAAATGCATCGCACGATAACAAAGGTAAGCAACAAAATGCTTGTGGTCATCAGCAGAACCAGGCATTTGTTCCCTAGCTTACACAAACTACAGTCAAAGAACACTAAAACTCCCACATTCATGCAGAACGTAAAACATATCTACTGCTGGAAATCCAGATTACTTTGCATAGAAATAAATTCTTTGGGGTTTTAACTTCCATTCTATACAATTTGGCCTTTACAACACTGTTTCCTTTGAACGCAACTTCATTTCATATTCTTGTCAGTTGGTTGTTTTGCCCTTAACCCTACAGAACTTACATAACCATGTTTGAAGCAATGC